AAGAAGAAGGAAGAGCAGCTGGAAAATATGGCCTTGGTGATAGAAACAATGCCAGAGACCACATGACAGAGTTTTGCAAGACCAACAACTTCATTGCAAACGCCTTTTTTTCAACAACATAAAACGGCAACTATACACATGGACCTCGCCAGACAAAATACACAGGAATCAAATTGACTACATCTGTGGAACGAGACAATGGAAAAGCTCAATATTATCAGTCAGTACAAGGCCAGGGGCCAACTGTGGAACAGACCATCAATTGCACATATGCAAGTTCAAGTTGAAACTGAAGAAAATTAGAAGAAGTCCATGAGAGCCAAAGTATGACCTTGAGTATATTCCACCTGTATTTAGAGACCATCTCAAGAACAGATCTGACACACTGAACACTAATGACCAAAGACCAGATGAGTCGTGGAATAATATCAAGGACATCATACATGAAGAAAGCAAGAGGTCATTAAAAAGACAGGAAAGAAAGAAAAGGCCAAAATAGATGTCAGAAGAGACTCTGAAACTTGCTCTTGAACGTAGAATAGCTAAAGCAAAAGGAAGAAATAACAAAGTAAAAGAGCTGAACAGAAGATTTCAAAGGGCAGCTTGAGAAGACAAAGTACAGTATTATAATGAAATGTGCAAAGACCTGGAGATAGAAAACCAAAAGAGAAGAACACGCTTGGCATTTCTCAAGCTGCAAGAATTGAAGAGAAAATTCAAACCTAGAGTTGCAACTTTGAAGGAGTCTATGAAAAATATTAAATGACACAGGAAGCATCAAAAAAAGATGGAAGGAATACACAGTCAGTGTACCTAAAAGAATTGGTTGAAGATCAACCATTTCAGGAGGTAGCCTATGATCAATCACCAATGGTACTGAAGGAATAAATCCAAGCTTCACCGAAGGCACTGGCAAAAAACAAGGATCCAGGAATTGACAGAATATAAATTTAGACACTTCAACAAACAGATTCAATGTTGGAAGTGCTCGCTTGTCTATGCCAAGAAATTTGGAAGACAGCCACCTGGCCAACCAAGTGAAAGAGATCCCCATTTGTGTCCATTCCAAAGAAAGGTGATCCAAAATAATGCAGAAATTACAGAATAATATCATTAATATCATATGTAAGTACAATTTTGCTGAAGATCACTCAAAAGCGGTTGCAGCAGTGTATCAACAGGGAACCGCCAGAAATTCAAGCCGGATTCAGCAAGAGGACACGGAAAGAGGCATAACACTGCTGATGTCAGATGGATCTTGGCTGAAAGCAGAGAATACCAGAAAGATGTTTACCTGCATTTTACTGACTATGCAAAGGCATTCAACTGTGTGGATCATAACAAATTATGGA